GAACAATTGCACTGATATTTGCAACCTTAAATATTTTTTTCAAACATGAAATTGCTTTATGAACAAGAATTAGCAGTTTTTACTTGAACAAAATATAGAACAAGGTTCACTTGTTTTAAGCAATTATGATAATTCAATTTGCTTAACGTGTTTTTCAAGTGATGACTTAATTATGACCACATTTCAAAATTTCTTTGACTGAAATTGCATCAAGAAAAACATGTTATTAACAAAAATTAAATACAATAATTGAGCAAATAAGATGCAAATAAAGATGAAAACCAAATGAAAATATAATAAATGTTCACTTATTTAAAATGAAAGGTTTCTCTTTCAAGCAAAGATTTGGTTTTTTAATGCATATGGTCATTAAAACAAGTAATAAAATTCTATTCAAGAAATTTTTACAATTATTTTACTTTAGATCTAATGTTCTCAATAAAATATTTGAATCCCACCTGTATTAAATGTGAAACTAATGTTACAAGATTTTGAAATAAAACATTAAAATGACTGCATTCAAAATGATTACAACTATGATGGTTTTATACATTCAAACAAAATATGAATTTCCTGTCAGTTGAGCTAAAGAAATGCAAGAACAAGTGAAATGGGAATGTTGAAACTTGTAAATATTGAAGCTGCAGCTAGAAATCTTGTAACAACAAACGTTTCTGATAGACCTACACTGAATAATAAAATGAACAAATAGACTATATGTGAATGAATCTAAAACTTTATTTCAATCCATAAAAACATTTCAGTTTTCAAAGTTTCAAAGTTTTTTGAAGAAAAAAGAATCAAGTAAATATCAAAATATGGCAACTATTTGAGATCATTAAAATAAAACCTCATTAAAATAAAACCTCATTAAAATAAAACCTCATTAAAATAAAATCAAAATTATTGTAAGAAAATCTCAGAAATTAAATCTGAAGCATTTTCATTTAACTTCCTTTTTGATGCATGCTTCAGTTGAGAATGATTTTTCTTGTATCATGTGTTAAAACCTGATTTTTTTATTTTATTTAATTGACAATAAAGATAATATTGTTGAGAAAATAAATAAATAAGTTTGGTCTTAATCAATTAACTATATATGCTAATAATTTAAAATATAAACATCATAAAAATATAAGAATGCTGATCAATATATCAATTTTATGATGTAATTAATAAAGAATATTTGTATGAAAATGCAAATCTTATTCTATTTGCATATATTGAAGATTTGAGTAGAAATCCTTTGAAAGAAATAATATCTAGCTTCATCTGAATTTCAATGCACAAGACATTTATAGTTTTGAATTTCTGATCCCTTTTCATGAAATAAGATTGTTGTTTTGATATCTTGAGTATTTAACATGACAGAACTTAAAAGCTTGACATCAGAAAATAAAAGGAGCAAAACATTTTCAGCTTCTCTTTGTTATTTAATATTAATGAGGCCAAGATTTTGACATATTTTGTTGCAGTGTCATTTATAAAAGACATTATAATATGCTAGTAGAAGGGAAGAGACAGAGAAGTAGGGAAAGAGAGAGAAATACAAATAAGTGAAGAGAGAAGGGGAGATGGAGAAAAGGAGAGGGAAAAGAGAAAGAAGCTGGAAAAAGAGGAAAGAAAGAAAAGTGAAAGGAGATAAAGATTGGTAGAAGGGAAGAGAAAGGAGAGAGAAAGGAAGAGTGGAGAGAAACAATGGAAGGGTTAGAGGAGAGAAAGAAGGGAAGAGAGAAAGAGGGCTAGAGAAAGGGGGAGAGAAGGGAAGAGAGAGAAGGAAGGATATATAAAGAAGGATGGTAGAAACAAGTGGAGAGAAGGAAGAAAAGGAGAGGGAAACAGAAATCATGCATACAGTTTGGTACAATTTTCTTATGATTTAATCCAGTATAGACACAAAGTTAGAATTTCAAAGACATTAATAATGTATGTTCAAATAAGAGATTTTTTTCTATTATCCACTTATTTGAACTTTTTGGGTTTTTTTCCCTTTAAGCCAGAGTAAATGACATTCACCACCTGACCCAGGGATTGAAACCCTAATCATCAGTTAAACTATATACACTTAAACAATTATGATTATGAATATTCATATGTAGAAAAATAGATGTGGGTTATCAACAATCATGGAATGGAGTGATAGAGAATAACATTGGAAATTGATTGAAGAAATCAGCACATTTTCTCAGCTAACCCACTCAGTAGACCAAGTATAGAATTGAACACCATATAAGGAGTCTTTGATTAGAAATGAACATACATTAGGTTTAAGACCCTAAAATTCCATAACCTGATTGCTCTATATGTTTTCATTAAATGTATGTATTCATTTTGTTGACATGAGTTCCATCTCTGTATCAAGCAGTGAAAGTCACATAATCTGGTTTATCACAAGGATGAATTAACTAAGAGGAATTAAATGATACAAAGTAAAGACTGCAGAATTAGATCAATGGACCCTTGGATTTAGTTTGTACTCTCCAGAAGATAATCAAATATGATGTGAACATCTGAAGAATGAAAGACATGTAATTGACTAAAATCTCGGTTTGAATAAACCCATATAATAATAATAATAATAATAATAATAATAATAATGCTTCATTTCAGAAAGACAGAGAATAATACACATAAAATATTACAAACAATAAAATTAATTTATTACACCCAACTTTTGACAGACAGCTTATAAAGAATACAAAAAATAAAATTAAAATATGGTTCATGTGTCAAAACACATCTTTTTAGTTTGATCAAATCTTATTTGTTTATTTGAATTTATTTTGCTTGTATTTTGTAACTTAATCTGTTTTTCCTCCATTTTATTACATTACAGCTATTCAACTGTTCCTTTTATTAACTGCTTGTGATGTAATACTCTTTATGTTTTTTGTAGACCATAACTCTTCTGTTGTCTGTGACTGTTTTGCTCATGTTTATATCAACATTCTATCAAAATTAGTTTAACAGATGATTTTGAATATGCTCATCTTTGTTTACCTTTTTCTGATTTTAAATTATTTAAAGTAAGCATTGACTTAATTAAGTATACATGTAAATAGGACAGTCATAAATTTCAAACTGAAAAAAAACAACAAAGGAATATTTACACTATTTACATTATTCGGACTCTTGTCCTCATTTTTGTCGCCATGTTTATCACAACATTTCAGCTGTTGTACACTCCGGCCTTCTTCAGGTGTTTGGAATATCGAACTGAACCCTTTATTTTGCTCACTGGGGTAGACTGTTCTAGTTCCACGTGCCATGTCTAATGGATGTCAGTTATCTCCTGTTAATTCCCCTGTGAAAGTTCTCCATTGCCTTAACCAGGTATTGAACTCACACTCTTTGGGTCCTGTCACTGGATCTAACTAACACTTTTATCCACTATGAATGAATTTCTGGATATTATAAACCTAACGTCTTCAGCAACCATTTTTTTTACCAGTGCAATTTTTTCATTTTTATTTAGAATACAATTTTCTAAATAAATAGGAAAACACTAAATTTTAATAAAAACAAAATCAAACAGAACTAGTGAATTATTTTAACAATATGCATTGAATACTGTTGTTATGTCTGATCTGGTCTGGTCCCATCTAATGCTTCTGCTATGTATATAGAGATTCTTGATAAAATACAAGGAAACATTTACAATATTATTGGCCCTGCCCTGGCATCTTGGTTTCAGTCACTTTCCCACTGGTGTAATTTAGATTTTCTTTGCCTTTTCTATAAATATTTTCATGGTAATTGTTCTGATGAACTTTCTTCTATGATACTAAGACTTTATGAATTTAAGTGCAGTACGAGATTGGTGGCATGGTCTCATCATTTTATACTTGAAATGACTAGATGTAACCATAAGTCATATGCTAAAAGTTTCTTGCACTTCTCACATGTGGAACTTTCTTCTTGCTTTCCAGTAAACTTTGATCTCAAAAATTTAAATGCAGTGTCAATCACTATTTTATGTCTTCTTACTTTCTGTTCTTTTATTATTCTTTATCCTTAATAATTTTTCTCATATTCTCTTGCACTCAGTAACCCTTTGTGTTTTTGTGACTTTATTGCCTAATGTCTTATTTTTAATGATTTAAAAAAAATTCTAAGTCTTTATATTTTAATGAAATTTAATTTTCTTCTATTTAGTAAATGGTTCTAACCCTTTGAATTTATGACTTCTGTTGATCTTAGTGATGTACTACAAACAGAAATATATTATAACTATTTGAATTACACATATACTCTGATATAGCAAAACTAAACACATCACACATACAGCACAATATTGTCATGGCTTCCAATTTAAAAGCAAATATCAACATTTCAAATATTTTACATGCACATTATGAGTTTCCAAGCAAAAATCCCAAATCCTGTTTATGAAGATCAACATGTAAATGGTAAAAATATCCTTAATATGACATTGTTATCATCATTTTATTCATCAAAACACAAACCTTAAAAGAGGTTATTATTGTTGTTGTTATGACATTTTTAAAGTACAAAGGAAATTTTGAAATAGATGAGAAAGTTATAAAAATGGAATTTAACACAACCATCTTGTATGGTATCATCTGTAAATATGTTAGTTTCTTGTTGAGGTATCAGTTGTCTTTACTCCTCATAATCAAGCAAAATACATGGCAAAGCTTCAGAAAGAAAATAGACAACATTTCTTGCAATCACAGAGTGTGAATGTTCAGTAATGACCACACAATTCAACATAGTAACTCACTCTTCTCTTCTGAAATGTTTAAAAAAAAGGTATTTTTTGCTAAAATGTTCATGTTATACATTTTATTATCTGAGTAAGTTCTACCATCTGATAACACTATGATTTTTCATGATTTTTATATCAATCAGTATTATAGTATTTCAATCAAAACTTCAAATTCTATAGTAAAAGTAGTTAAAAGCTAAGAAAAAATAAAATAAAATGATCCACAATGTTTTAGAAACAGAAAAAAAAAAATAAAAGTAACAATTCTTACCTAAACTGGATGGGTATCCAAATATCTTGAACTCATCAGCCAGAATTCTTTCATATTCCTTACCTACAACAGCAAAAGCAAAAATACCATAAAGCACCTGTAAATGTCAAACGTTAAATAAAAAAAAAACTTTGATAAAAATTAAAATAGCTAAAGAGATATAATCCAAATTTAGCAGCAATTTGATATAAACAATGATTTAAAATTATTCAATCAAGTCAGTGAGGCACTTGGAATTTAATCAAAATTATTTTTTTGTTTGAACTACAAAGAAATTAAAATGTTAAATTTCTTTGATAATAAGCAGCATTCAACTTTTTAATCAACCAGAATATTTATTCATTACAAATGACAATATATGGTGACTTTGAATATTTTTGTTTGTAAGATTAAAAAAAAATTCTCTCATAGATAACTTCAAAAATAATTGTATAGTAAAACCATTAAAAACTTTCAGATAGACAACATGTAATAGAGTTGCATTAATGTTAGCAATGTATTCTCTTGGTTAGATACCTGTGCTGAAATAATTTGTGCTGATATAAATTTATAGAATGGGTTAATAAACCACATGACACAATTAGAACAACTTTACTTCTATACATATATATATATATATATATATATATATATATATATATAAGTGAAGTTGTTCTAACTGACACTGTTTTGAGTGAACATACTTTCTCTGCACCCATAATATTATAACAGAAGAGTAAAATCGTTTTTGCTTGATGTATTTTTCATTTCTCTCTTTTTCCCTTTCTGCAAGACTTTTGAGGGAGAAATATCCAAACTTAGTTAAATTTAATAAAACCAAAATTGAATCATCTTTCCTAATATAAATGTGAAAAAGGCAACTTTAAACTCTACTGGTCTAAACTGTGCTCAAATTTTACTGAAACTTGAATGATTTATATCTGAAATATTAAGACTGCTTGTTAAGGCAGCAATTCTCAAACTTTTACTCATCACAGTTCCCTGAGTGTATAAGAATTTTTCATGACTCTCCAAGTCAGAAAATACTGAAAAACTGAATTCATGTGTTTTGTTGCATAAACCATATGTATGAAGACAAAGACTACAAACTTCATACTTAATTTCAATAAACATTTTAATTTATTTTATTAACATGCCTGTATTAAATAAACTTATTAATTTATCTAAACACTTAATAGCTTGATCACACCAGCTTTAGAAGATACAATCTCCAATGCACCAGTGGAAAATCTACAGTATACAAATATTTCAGACTGAGAAGTTCCATGTAGTTCTACAATAATCAAGAACGTAAAACTTGTCTATTATTAACTAAGTAGCAACTAGTGTTAAAATAGTGATATTGAACACCAAATGGACAGAGTTATTAATGATGTGCAAGGGAGATATCACTTCATACTACTGTGACAATGTATTAGATTACAATTGCTTGCTATTATTAAAGTTTTGAATATCCTTTTGCAAGCCTAAGAATTAACTTTGGCGCTCCTGAAAGCGCCATGGTGCACACGTTGGGATTCACTGTTTTAAAGAATAAGAAATAAAGAATAAGAAAGTTTAAGTCTATTAAGTAGCAAAATGATGTATGAAAACAGCAATAAAAATTCTTATTTTATTAATGAAAATGTTTAACTATGAACAAACAAAACACACTCACACACATATGCATACACACACATAAGCACACATGTGAATATATTTTCACATGTGTGTGTGAATATGTGACCAATATGTGTAACAAATTGGCCATATAATAGTTAGCAAGCTTGTCTCACTAGAACAATTACCACTGAGTAGTGAGTTTGATCCTCACTGGGTGCCCCATAGTTTCTGCCTTGTACCACACCTAAGTTACATTTAGAAAATCACCATATATAACACAAACTTTATGCAATTTTCACCACAATGAATTTTTAATTAATATATGTAATAAGTTGTTTTCTTCTTAGAAACCATTTATAGAAAAGTTAATAATTAGTTTAGTATTTATTTATACTTTATTTACATTATGTATATAACTTGATATTTTTTAAATCATTTAAAATCTTCATTCATTGTATATTTAAAATAACTTAGCACTGTACTCATTATTTGTACCACTTTAGGATTGATTATAATTTCAAAAATAGTTTAACTTGATTTCAAAGTTAAAGTTGAAAAGTATAGGTTCTTAAAGAAAAAAGTCCATATCAATGTAACGGACAGATTATTTTCATTTTGATAGAAGTCATAATTGCTTATTTGCAAAATACAAATTAAAATGTTTTCTTTTCATAATTCCAGTATACTTATTGCATTTTCTTTTAGCTCAAAAAGAAGATATGTACCAAATTTCACTTTATTCTGCTTTCAAATATGTTACCCTTCATAACTGGAAAAAAGTCTTAAATTCAAGTTTAAATTGATTTCAGATGTATGATAAAGCATCAATTAGTTACTATCTTATATTGCAGCTTGCTTTTTGATAGAATATGAAAGTCATGTTAAGTAGATTGATCAAATGTATCCATATGGCTATATGGATACATTTGATAAATCTACTTAAAATATCTGTGGTTCAGTCTCATATTCAATTGATCATCTCCTTTTACTACAAAACAGCCGACCAACAAACTGACCATCCTTCCCTATCAGTCTATCTGTGATTGAATGATATTTCTTTTTTTAATGTTTATGCATTTTACTGATGACCTGAACTTAAAATTTACTCTCTGTCCCGTCAAGAATGCATTCATTTGATAATGAAATTCTCCAAAGTTTGTGATTCTGATGTTGGCATGATTTAAAAATTGACCAAGAATTTTTATTTGCTTCAGAATGGTACCCTGATATATAGAAGTATATAACTACAGTTTATATTTTACAATTGGTTTTTGCTTTTTTTAAAAAAATACCCCCAAATATTTATTCATAATTAAATCAATGGTTAACCAGGGTCAGGCAGCTGTTTCAGTTTTATAATTTGAAAAATCTGTTTACCAACTTTCTTACTTTTAAGTAAGATTGTGCTGATAGCTCTGAATGTACAATCAATAATCCATATTTAAACACATCTGTGACTTCTTTTCTATTTTGCTATTCTTGTGATAAGAATGATGTTGAAAATTGATACAAGAGCAGCTCATAAGTATTAACCATATTTCATAAGAAGCGCATATATAAAAAAAAACGAGCAAGATTTTAGAGTGACGTCTTCATTTCTCTTCATTACTCAATAGATCGCAAGAGTAATTTTTGTTGCATAAGTAAACATCTTCACAAATATTTGTCTAAACCTTTGCTTGTATGTTTTACCATAAATTTAATATTCTTTTGTATTTTACTGTGGTAAACAATAGATATTTAATCTATATTAAAATAAACATTTCATTTAAATCAATGAGAAGATTAAATAAAATCCTAAAGGCATGAATTTACTTTGGATTTAATTGGAATAATGTTGCTCATAATGACTGTTTCACTTTTGCCAAAAGCAGATACTCTTCTTAGTAAAAATCAAGTTAAACTTAAAAGAATATTTTAAAATGCAAAAGTAGTGGACAATAGTTGAGGTTTGATGTTTGTAGAATGAATATTAACACTTAGGAAGCAAAACAATAAAAGACTGCAATATTTTTAAAGAACATTTTACAATTTAAGGAGAGATTTCTGGTTTTTAGTTGACTATTTATTTTTATTTTTACAAAATTTCAGAATAATTCACTTTGTCAAAATGATTAAGTATTTCAGTGGAATAAACAACATATCACAACTTATTATATAAGTTTCTGTAAATGTTCCTAGCATGAAAAAGATTAATTCAGTTCATATATGCAAAATAACAATTTTGGGCATTCATTTATTTCTTTATAGAAAATAAAATGTTTGTTTCTCAAAATTCTCTTTGATTAAAGAGAGAAAGTTTTAACTTGATGTCTAAGTATACATTAAGTGTCATCTTATACTAACTTAATCCCATTTCAGTTTTCTTTCTTAATAATCAAGTAAAATCTTTGATATATCATTGAATGGATTCTGTTAGCCGTCAAAATCTGAAATTTAAAAAATTATGGCATATTTATTTATTATTTCAAGTTCTTTCTCTCTTTTTATATATATATATATATATATATATATATATAAAATAAGTAGCTGGCCACTCGTATTTGAGGATACCTATTTACTAGTGTGGCTAGCCAATCCTTATTGCAGATGCTCATTCAGGCACATTTGTATTTGCTCAACACCCACAGAGCCCACCTGTGTTTTATACTGCAACTATGCTAAACAGACCTTAGTTACAGTTTCTGGGAAAGAGCATGCTATCTAGCCTGATCAACAACTTGAACAAGGCCAGTATGCTCAAGCCCTTGACCACGATGACTTGTTGCTTCACAGCTATCGACAGCCCATGAAAGTTCTGTCCATTCAATTTCACACACAAAGCTTGGGTCAACCTGTGGTATGGTTTTCAAGCACTTTCCAAAGGTGCTGCATGTTAGGATCAACCTTGATCCAGTTTGATAACATCAGGAAGTTGCCTTCCTGACAAATCGACTATGGTAAGATTCAAACCCGGGTCTCTTGGTCAGAAGTCAAATGTTCTAACCACTTGGCCACATACCCATAATATATATATATATATATATATATATATATATATATATATATATATATATGAAAAATATACGGAAAAAACAAACAAAAATCCTTATATACAATTATGCTGTTTTAACGTTAATATGTCAACGTTGGACGTTTCGGTCTAATAAACCATCTTCGAGACATCTTTGGTCTTTGTCATGTTGAATTGATAATGTTAATTATATTTTATGGATATGTCCCGAAGATGGTTTATTAGACCGAAATGTCCGATGTTGACATATTAACATTAAAACAGCCTAATTGTATATAAGGATTTTTGTTTGTTTTTTTCTGTATATTTTCTTCATATTGTCGGATCTATAACCATATATTTGCTTGCATATATATATATATATATATATATATATATATATATATATATATATATCTTTCTTTCTCCCTCTCTTAAGTTGACTTATATTCAGTGTAACTTGCTAAAG